AGAGGAGTCATAATATTATGCATTTGTGTTGACAACAAATTGACCATGTCATGATTACTGTGGTCCATTTGTTGTCGAAGAGCCATCATGGCTTGGTTACTAATACCCGTAGGTACATAACTCCCTGGTCGAATCAGCGAACCCTCCTGACTTGTCCCTACATGTTGATATGGGTCTTGCATGACAAAACCCAAACCATTTGGCCCAGGGTTGTATCCCTGTGGGGATACGTGTACTTGTGGGTTTGTCCCTAAAAAAGGTATAGGCATTTCTACGTGTACAGGTTGGGTATTACGCCAATTTTGTGGCATGCCCCAGGGGTATTCTCGACTGACGTTAGTTAATTCCTGAGTCATATTAGTTTGCCTAGCCCCATGTTCAAGCCTAGGAACATTTTCGACCAAGACTGGGGACGATCCTGTTGTCCCCTTTGTCCCACTAGTCACATTATCGAGGTGAGGATTCTCTAGTTCTACATCAACATGGTTATCATTATTTGTTTCCCTCCTATTGCTAGCATTAGATGTAGACATAGTTCTTCCACTCCTAAGTCTCATACAACACATGCACCTAAAACTAGTCTAATTATGTTCAATTTAAACGTGTCTCATCGGGCGGATAAATTAATATTAAAATAGCAGTTATCCCACTCCGCGTCATCCCGCTATCCCATTTTTAGGGTCGACCGCTCCGCTCCGCTATCCGGGATTGACTACTATGCATACATCAGAGTGAAATGCTTTTGCTAGAGTCGTATGCCAATCCTTTTTTTGGCTGGATTGGTGCTATATAGATAATAGATATTGGATTTTCACCAGTGAGATATTCAAATGATTCTGTAGTTTGTTTCTTAAGACCCCATGTCAAGTGTACATAGGTTTCGGCCAAGATCACCTAATCATGTCTCTATTTTTGGAAATGTGTTTTGTTATTGAAATATGCTTTATATGATTTTTTTCTTCTTCAGTTTATGTTTGTTTTAATCTAGTGTTTTGCTCCATAGATCATCATCAACCATCAGGCTCTACCTTGCCTTCTGAATCTGTTGACCAATAATTATAAGAAAAGCATCAAGAAGGAAGCTTGTTGGACCATATCAAACATCACAGCTGGAAATAAACTGCAGATTCAGGTTAATTATTTGTTCATTTTTTATGATAATTAAAATTTGATATTCTCTTTTGAGTTCTTATTGCTATAATATTTTCTTCATGATAATAAACAGGCAGTGATTGAGGCTAACATAATTGCTCCTTTGGTCAACCTGCTTCAAAATGCTGAGTTTGATATCAAGAAGGAGGCTGCTTGGGCTATCTCAAATGCTACATCCGGTGGTTCTCATGAACAAATCAAGTATGAGGAAGCACTTGTGTTTTTAATATTTCCCAGGAGGTTAATGCAATTCATATATTTTTTTTTTCTCTTGCAAGATATGAATTATTTCCCTTGTTTACTATACAGGTACCTAGTAAGTCAAGGGTGTATTAAGCCCTTGTGTGATCTTCTCATCTGTCCTGATCCTAGGATTGTAACAGTTTGTCTGGAAGGCCTTGAGAACATCTTGAAGGTAGGAGAAGCTGATAAAAATATAGGTAATACTGGTGACGTGAATCTGTATGCCCAAATGATTGATGATGCTGAGGGGCTGGAGAAAATTGAGAACCTGCAGAGTCATGACAACACGGAGATTTATGAAAAAGCGGTGAAGATTCTTGAGACATACTGGTTGGAGGAGGAAGATGAGACTATGCCTCCAGGGGATGCTTCTCAGTCAGGGTTCAACTTTGGTAACAGTGAGGCTCCTTCTGTGCCTTCCGGTGGATTCAACTTTAATTAGAAGATATCCATACTCTACTGGGTAAAATTTTATATTTGGTTTTGTTCTGGTTTTTCTTTAAGTTTTTGAACGAAATTAGTGAATTATGGTTTGGCAATTTGCATGTGTTTGTTTATGTTGTCTTCAATTGTTAAAAGATTATTTAGAATTTCTTGAATTGCAGGATTTTTGGTCGGTGTATCCGTGAAGTTCTCCATTATGACGGGACAGCAGTTGGGGGACAAGTCAATGTCTCGTCATTGTCCTTGGGTCTCGTACAAGGTCCAGCAAGTAAATACATGGTTGCTGGATCGGCTTGGGTTTTTGCAATGCCTGGTATTTCATATCTCATGCTGTAAAATGCTTTGTGGCTATATTTTTTTTGCAACCGTAGAGAATACTAGAATCCTCTTTCTGTCAAGTGATCATTCCATAGAGTTAATGAATGTTCAGTCTCGTGATATTTTTTCCTTTGTTTTATGTGTCATAGTTTGGAGTATAAGTTACGATTGTTGTTTTTTTGGCAAATGCCAAATGCTACTGCCTATCTGTTAGTTACAAGGAACTTTGGAGTCTTTCTTTTATCCTCTTCCTTTGTAAGTTTTTTTGATGTTGAAGTGTTTACCCCAAAGTTCAATTATTCATCAAGTTATGTAGGCCCCCCTACATTATGTAGTACTTCAGCTTGGAACTACGTTCTCAAAAGAAAATATACTGCAATTATTATGTATTCTCTCAAATTATATTTATACGCGGGGCTATTAAGCCTATTCTATCCGTTTCAGGCTCGTTAGCGCACTCACTCGATGTTTTCTCGCAAATCCTTAATATATGTTGTTGAGTGGGAAAACGTTTGCATTGAACATTTACACCTGTGTTAGCCTTATCTTATCCAAAGTTATGTAGCACGAATTTTAACACAACTCAACATGGGAATAAGGTAAAATCAAAAAACAAAACATATGTGAACACGATATGATATATAATACAAATAATGACAAAAATATTATATATTAATATATATGATAATAATTTATTATGTCTCAAATAAATTATTAAAAGATATTATATTTTACCATAAAAAAATTCTTTTTCTTTTCAATCTCGAATCTCTTTTCATTTTTTAATTATGTGAATATTAACTAAGGAAAAATAAGAATGATTTTTTTATTTGTTTTTATTAAGATTTTTTTTCTTTTTTCTAAAAAAATATCAAATCCTTCGTGCCATTCCTACCTGTTAGTTTACAGTATTAGAAAATTAAAGTTGCTTTCGTTGAGAGTCGAAGTCAAGACCTCCCGCTTACTAAACGGGTGCTCTAACCAACTGAGCTACGAAAGCCTTTTGATTTTGTTTTTTTATTTCAATATTTTTACTATAAGAAAATGGGTTTATATGATCGTGTAAAAAAATACTATATTTACATATAGATACGAAATTAATTTATAAATATCTTTGGTTTTATTCAGAAGAAAACTAATTCATAAAAAATAGATACGTAATTAATAAAGGTTGAGGTAACGTTACTCCAATTCCTAAAGTATTATAACGTTTTTATATTCTTTACAGTCATATTTTAAACTCTGAAATCTTCTCTTAAAACATTTGAGTTTGCTTTATTAAACTAAGGAGTAAATACTCGTTTTTTTAATACCTTTATACTCCACTAGGGAAAAAAAAAGTATATGCACTTCGTGCCTTCATGTTAAAAAAATCCATGAAATAAAAGAGGGAGCAAATGATAGTCATACCACTAAGTTTCTTATAGTGAGTAATTATTTATATTAGTTCAAAAGTAAAAGTCCACAAAATTGTGTGGTCACTAATATAAGATATATATTTTATTAATTATTATGGAAGATTATCTATATTTATATTATTAATAAAAGAGATTATCCTATTTGATATATATATTTTTTGGATAACTTTATTCTTATAATTATTTCTTAAATTACTCTTTCTCTCTCAACCATTTTTTAAAAATATCCTTATAACTACATTTATTCAAAAATTTATTATTAACTATTCATCTTTTGCCTTTTTAAGTTAGTAGATATAAAAGAAATGCATAATAGTTTAAAAATACATATTCTTCTTTTATCTTATTTTATCTTTTATGATTATCCCAACTCACATATATTTTCTGGTTGTAAATTATTTACCATTTTTATTTTTAAACAATACAGAAAGATACAAAATATTTCTTATTCATCAGGGTAAAAAATGAAGACAAAATGTTTCTTGTACATAGTGGTTTGAAAATGCATATTTTTATTAATCTTATTTTATCTTTATGATTATCCCAAATCACTAACACTCTTCAATCTTAAAATTACTATTTTTATTTGAAACAAAATATGGAAAGATACGAAATATTTTTTATTCATTAGCGATACCATAATATTTGAACTTTGTGATTGGACTAATCATAGTATTTTGTAGGGATGATAAATAAATTCATTTATCTATCATCCATCTGGTTCATTCACAAGTAAATTTATTCAATTTGTCCATTACTATAAAAATAATAATGAATCAGATACAATCCATTCATTAAATTTTATGGATGATTAGTGATTTATCCACTTTCAAGATCCATTGAATTACAATATGAAATATTTATTAGATTAAAATTTTAAAAGATTATTTTGGCATAAGAAAATCTTGTGAATGTTTTTTAAAAAACTATGTAAGAATGTAATGATTTATAATGAAAAAAAATTAAAATAAATTTATTTAATTTCTAAAATATTATTTTTATAGATAAATTAGATATCTATTCATGAAAAAATTGTTAATGGATATAGATTGAATAAATTTTTTACTTTTAAATGGATTGGATGAATTAATTTTTTATCCAATCTATTATGATTTATTTAAAAAATTATATAATCCACCTATTTATCACCCATAATATTTTGTTAGTTTTTTGTGATAACCGATCATAGTAGGTTACTGTGAACTGTTGATAGTGGTAATCGAATCTAAATTGTATCGGTGCAATTCATTTTCGAAGTCCAAAAGATACATACCCGTGATGTAACATCGAACCAAGTCTTTCTTTGTTTTAGTTTTCCTAAACCTAATTGGATATTTAGAGGAAAATAATAATCGATTGCTTTGATTCAAATTCATGGAATGTCTACTCCTTTGGATCATAGCCATAATAAAAAGTTTCATTCAATGTATACACGTGATCAACTGAATCAAAGATTAATTACAATTTACAATAAATGGTCAAATCAATTTAATTTGTGCATGCAATTCCATCCTGTACCACTTGTAGTTTTCATCAATGAATTCGTAATTGTTTCATCAATCAAGGAAAATAAAATGCATGAAAAGGAACTAAGCACCCAATTCCGCAGGTTTCATCAAACAAAGAAAAGAGAATGTATGAAAAGGAACAAAGCACACGGTTCCGTAGGCAAATAATGTTTTAAGTAGATGTTCATACAAACGCTCTATACATTTTCTGACCTTGTGTATCCTTTCCTACTATACCACACCAATCTCTAAAATGCTTGTGCCTCTAAGACACCTACTCCACTCTACCTCCCCAGTTGCAAAAGAATTAATATGGTCTCTACATACAACAAAACAAAACAAAACAAAAAGTATGCTTGTCTACTGCAAAACTTCTTGGTCTCCTCGAAAGACAAGCTGCAATACTATGTCCGAGTAGGCAGGGAACATTGGTGTCAAATGAAATGTCACACCAATGAGATGTGACCAAATATTAAAAATAAATTGAATATCACCGTGGATCACAAAATAATTTCCTTAATGATTAAGAGAACCAACATGACGAAGCACATGATGAGAAGCACAGTAGCACACATTACCATGCCCCCCTTTTTCTGAGTTCTCTCCGCCTGCATGTCCCATAAACCAAATAATTACCGTGGGGAAAAAGAGATAGAGAGTGAGATAGAAAGGTCAAGAGGGAAGCTAGCAACACTGCTAAACTAAAATAGTAGACAAGGAACGGGTGTAGGACCTTCTGCAGTTGTTTAAGGCCATCCTCAACTGTGGTTGCAACATTCTGAATGTTGTAGTCTATTCTATCGACAATGGTTCCCTACATATAGAGGACGTCAATGGTTAAAAGGGCGTGGCGTAAAGAAATTTGTCAAATCCTCACAGAAGGGGATATCAGCTGACCTGGTCTATGACTAGTACTGATAAATCCTTCATAATCTGCGCAAGCTCGTTCACAGATTCCACAACCTATATATAAAAGCAAACAAAAAAACTCATCAAGAATACAACATAAAGTCAAAATAAGACTGATAACAGCGCATAAATGCAACTTTTGTTTACCTGTTGGATCTCTTTTTCTCTTTCTACTGTGAATGCTTCATTTTTTTTCAGCTTGGCCATCTGATGTTCATTAAATACCTACATATAAATAAATTGATAGCATCAGTGATCAACTAACAAATATCCAACTACACCACAGGGTATGACCACATGGATAACAGAATATGTCAATTGATCTTCCAGAAAATTTAACCAGCGATGATAAAAATATTGGCCCACCTACTACGTCCTTAAGAAACAAAGAAGTGAACTAAAAAAAAAATGAAACAGAAAAAGAAATACCATATTATCCAAGTCATCATCTTGATATTTGGATTTACTTCCATTTAAGTTGATCTCTAGATCAACTCCATCTTGACCCTGCAATATCATACAATGATAATCAAAAGCTTTAAACAAAGTCCATTAAGTTTTTAGTGATATGTATAGCATGAAAATTGTGATAATTCCCAGATAAGAGACAGAGAGCAAGGGAATAAACTAAGTACAATTTCCCTCATGTCATATCATTTTTTTTCCTCGGTATGTGAGAGATGCAGTTTTATACATTACTCTAGATAAGAATTGAGGGTAGAATTTAATGAACTAAAGTGCATCAGACTGATTTGCATTGTTGTGTTACTTTTTTGGTATTTTTTTTCTTCTTTTTTTAATTAGTAGGAATTACGAAACAGTAACAAAATTTAAACTTAAGATTTTGTACATACAATTCCAGCCTCCTACTACTATAAATAAATTGTGCCATTTAAAAAAAAAACCCTCAGGAAAAAATTAGAAACTTATATTTTCTTTGTTAGTCAAGGAAAAAAGGGTAAAACAAACAGATTCTCTCTCACCTCTTTTTGCTGTCTGAGGCGCTTTAAATAAGTTGATTGTTTCTTGCGGAGCTCTACAGAGAGGTTCTGAAGGTCAGTAGCAAGAGAACGCTGCATGCAGTACACAAAATAAAAGAATGTTTAACAAGGTAAAAATAATAAGTTTATTGAATAACAGAAAAATATGAAACGTGTGTTCAGACATAAGGATTAAACAGTCGAAAATCAAGCCACCTTCATAGACTCAATTTCATGCATAAATGACCCAGTCATCTTTCTGGCTAAGAAAGGAAATATGTACAAGTACAATTAGCATTGAGGCATTTGGGAACAAATGAACAATTAATAAATGATCATGGCTAGTGTCTGTTGCCCCAATCATGCAACTCAAAGTAAGATACTAGGATTAATTTAATCAAGAACTAAAACTTTAGGATGACTTGAAGGGTGGAGAAGGGTGGAGAGAACATGGACAGATGGACTAATAGAGGATACATGTAATTGGTCATCATAAGCCTTTTCCTGATCACCTTGCCTATTGCTCTTTATAAGACCTACAGATTTTATACTGTAGCATACTTGACAGCCAGAATAATGTCAACTAAACTTGAAATGACTATATGTTAGTTTATAGTGATTAATTTTAATTTTGGCAGGGACTGTATGTGGGAACATGGTATATAGTTCACTGTGAAGCACTAAGTAACAGGATACCATATAACTTTTTTTCTGCTGATATGCATTTTAAAATGCAGTCTTTTGGAATAATTTTTTTGGTGTTATTGGAGAATATTGCATCTATCCTTCACCTACCTTTGATAATTCAAGGGGATGGTATGGAGGCCAAAATTTTGAGATGACGTGATTATTTGTTTGAAGCAAAATGAATGCATCCTTAAGGGTGTCTGCAAGCCCTTGGATATGTTATTTAATGGAATCATCTCTAAGGCTTCTGTCTGCACATCCTTAAGGGTGTCCATAAGCCCATTGATTTATGGTATGTTTGCACCAAGCAGTAAATTAAATGGAATTTCCATGTGTGACATATAGAGGTTGGATATCTGATTCACATTTTAGTCTTTTTGAATTTTCTGATTGGCAGGATACCTCCCCCACTCATTTTAATTTCTTGTTTATCCTATGATGCACAAATACAATATGCATATATCGTATCCTATAAAACAATATGATTATTCCAAAAATATATAAGAAATGATACACGCAGTATATGCATAGATATGATTAAAATCTTCATAAGAAATAACTCTATAATTGCAATTCCAAAATCCAAACTAAGAGGATGCTTCTTGGACATTAATATAAAGAAAATAGAAATTATAAATTATTGTCATCATTAATCACTACCTATTCCTTACAAACAATAATAGAGTCAATCCCATTCCCTCCTTCAGCATCATCCATAAAGAAGATGAAGTATTGGCCAAGTATGAGGGATACTGGATACGTATTAGATACAATACTTCAAGTAAATGCAAGTACCGGTGGTGCTTTGTAGTTTTATCTAATAAACTTCCTTTTAACATCCCTAAAAAATAAAAGCAGTATAACATACCATTGATACCGTGATGGAAGTCTCATGCTTGGTTCATGAAGAGCCCCACAGATTTCAAGTTTCATAAAACACATTCATTCTTGTGGGGCAAAAGAAAAATTTTATCTTCTATCTCATCAGTGTTATTATTATGCGAGTGTTGAGCAGTGATACCTGCACATTTTTCCTGACATTGGAATCCTCAGAAGGCCCAGTAGCAGAAAGTCTCCGTAGTCTTTTCTCTGATCTCTTTATTAAGTCAGTTATCTCATGTGTAAGAGTCTCAATAGCGTGTTGATCTTCCTTTCCATCTCCAAAGGACGGCATCAAAGCCTTTGCATGAGCCTTGGCCAACTCTGCCATTTTTGTGCGTGCACGTTGCACATTTGCTGATATTTCTTCTGATAAATCCACCCACGCTGGAGGTAGTCCCACAGTAATTGCATTTTGACCCCTACTGCATTCATAAAAACAATGAATAACTCATTATTTCCAAGTCTTACAGAAAAATGCACACTGTGAAAAGACAAAAGAAGTGAACTATACAAATGTTTTACATCCTGGATAGTGGCTCGTTCGGGCCAGGCCCCAAAATGCTATAATGGTATAGTCACTATTTTGACATTTTTTATATTTATATAATGTATACTATTTATAAAAATTCTCAAAAATCATAAAAAAAAAAAAGAATACTCAAAATTAATGACATTCATAATTAATTAGAAAAGTCATAGGTCTTGACAAAACATACAAGTAAATACTAACAAAAGTCAAATAAAAGTTTCCTATATAGGAATCATGAACCAACGCCTTCTTTATCATTTTCACTATTATTACAACTGTATTTCACTTTTGGAAATTGAAATCGCAAAAATAGCACTTATGTTTGTAAGGTGAAAATTATCCTTACTTATATACTTTATTTTGGTCATATCTCTAATCTATGTGGAGCTCCAATACCCACTCCTCATGATCAAGCGGGGACTAAACATTTGGAATGTGATGTTCGAAGAATTAGACATTTGTGGGTAGTTTGATAATAACCCGATAGCAAATGACCCTATAAACTCAACATCAATCAACATGATTGACTTTGATCATCTTAGAATGTGTTTAATTTTACTAAACTGACTTGTAAGACGAAAATTACCTTCACTTATGAACTTTATATATTCTATTGTAGTCATATTACTAGTTAATGTAGAATCTTCAATAGCCAGGGAGCTAGAATCTTAAATGTACATATTTATTTTATTTTATAAAATAAGTGTCCAATTTTAGAAGAAAACACCCCTTTCCACTGTAATTTCAATTTCCCGCAAAAATAAAGAGTGTACCATAGACAGTTCATCTGTTAATTCCCGACACTCATTTCAATAATGCCACATGTATTCTTAACTAATACTAATCTAAAATTCCTTCCAGATATGGCTTCGTGTTTCGAGTGACGAACTTCGACTGCAAATGCGAGCACTGGTAGTCCTATATACATAGTTTCTTCTAGTATTCACGGATCGTTAAAAAAGAAATCAATAATAATAATAAAAGCTACGGATCTAAGAAAGAAAAAGCTATTCGGACATTTGATCCACGATAACAATTACATCGATGGAAATATAAGACTGTAAGATCTGAGATGCGAAGCGCACCTCGAATTGCCGGGATCCTCGGTACTGAGCGGAGCGTAGGAGCGATTGGGATTGAGAAGCGAGGTACTGACCAATTCAATGACGGGGCCACCGGCGGCGGAAGAAGCGGCGGACTTCGGCGAAGAGAAGGAGGGAGCCCGAACACTCTTCAATGCATCTCTGTGCTTTCTGAAAAGCAAAGTGCGATTTCTCGTCGCCATTCAGATCCCCAACGAATCAAATGAAATGCTTCGTCGTTTCGTAACAGTCAAACCAGAAACAAAGATCGATCGCCTCTCACGTGATCCAACTTCACCATCAAAGGGTCGCTCACGTGCCATTGAAGTTCTTCAATAAACAGCATTTTTTTTAATTATTAATATTTAATATGTATAACTGCTATTTTATATATAATTAAAAGATTTTTTATATAATGATTAATCATGTGCCATAAAAGAGAAATATTTTATATTATTAAGTTTATAAATAAACACATATTTTTTACATATAAATTATATTATAATTAAATTAATAATTAATAAATGTAATTATGTTTTTTAAATGAAGGGAGCAACAACCCAACTCAATTAGATTAAAAACCATGAGGAAAATTAACAAGAGATTAGAAAACATTAGAAAACATTAGGAAATTATAGGTCTATTAGGCAGGAGAAAAAAAATTAGGATAAATATAAATGGAGGCGATACAAAAATGTGAGAAATAATGTGAATTTTAAGAAATTTTTAATAATAAAAAATATTATAATAACATTAATAAATATTGAATTTAAGTTTTAATATATTATCATAACTCTTTTAATGACTCAATAACTCTAATTATTCATGAATGATAATCGTTAAAATATTAACTCTTTTAAATAAATTATTAAACAACACTTTTTTTTAACAAGGAGGTATAATTCTTTTACTATATTAATTTTAAAGTGATATCTTCGATGGTAACTTTATATTCAAAATAATAATCAAATTATGATTCTTAACAAACTTATTATTTACACCGTGAGAGAAAAATGAAAGAAAAGGTGTGAAGGAAAAAAAATGAAGGTTTGTAATAGAACATAGACATCATAAAATTTATATTAGAATTGATTATTTTGGAATGAGATCCATTACTTTATTTTCATTTCTCCACTCATTTTTTCTTATCAATAACTAATTTATTTATTATTCGTCTTATTTACTTTATTTCCATTCAATCAAATAAAATATGAAAAAAAATCTCTATCTAAAATATTAACTACTTGAATAACTTTGTAACACTTTTAGAAGTTATTAACATCTTGCAAAATTTTAAACATCAAAGAGAAATACATATATAATTTAAGATAATTCTCACTCAAAAGATAGATTGTAATAAGGGAGCTTAACTCTACCTATAACTTTGATTTCTTACTAATAATAACCTTTTTAAAACAACTCATATTTCAGTCTCAATAACGTTACATAAAAATAATATTATTTTAATTATTAAATATTTCTTTTGAAAAGACATTATTAAAATCCAATTTAAATTAAATTAAAATATTTTATAATGAAAAAAATAAATGTTTGAAATAGTTGACAGAGATTACTTTTTATTTATTTATTTGGATAATCATCAAACTCATGTGAAATGAACTTTTAAAGAAAAAAATATTGAATAGTGTAAAAAAATATATTGAAAATGTCTAATTTAGAGAGTGAAACTAAGGGTAAAATGACTTATTAAATAATATTTTATTTGAATAACTTAATTTAGAAAAATAACAAGGTTCAAGTAGGGATGACAAAGATACTCGCGAGTGGGTAAAATTCACTATGGATAATAAATATGTAGGATAATTAGGTACCTACGGATAATGGAGATGGATAATGTTTTACCCGTTTATAAACGGGGCGGGGGGCGGGTATGATGGTATCCATATCTGTGGTACCCGTTTAATAACATTTCTTAAATATCATAATTATCCTTGTACCACATAATCCTAAAACTACATTCTCTCATTTCTTTTTTTTCATAGTCGCACAACCTACACATTAGTCATCACATTATGAGACTTTCACTTACTTATGAGATTGATATATTTTAAGTTATTGATTATGTTGCTTTTTTATTATTATTTCAACAAAATTAACATTAATTACAAGTTTAAAATTAATATTAAATTTTAATTTTTAATATTTCAATGACATTAAATATAAATTTAAAATTATTTATAATATAATTTTTTTAATTTCTTAAAAAATTTATAATTATCCATGGATATCCGTAGATATCCATGGATATTCAAGAAATTCATAAATATCCGCTTAACAGATACCCGCACAAATATGAGACGAATATGAGACCAATTTTTATCTAGTAGGGTAGGGATTAGTTTATTATTACCCGTCCCATGGGGCCCATTGCCATCCCTAAGTCCAAGTCTAACTTTATATTTATTATAAACTTTATTTTTAAGGGTAATTATGTCAAACACCTATTAATCTACTTAAGACCGATTTTTATATTAAAATTTTTATATAAACATAACTTCTCTCTACATGAATCAATAAGACAATAGAGAAAAAACTCAGTAAAATAAATTATAATATAAAAATTAAATTCAGCGTTATTCAAAGCATGAGACAGAAATTAAAAATAAGTTAACTAAATTTTTATAAGAGTTATAAGTCTATAATATTTATATGATATAAATTAATTTTGAATGTTTGATATGACATTCGTAATAATTTATTTAAAAGAATTGTTAAAAAAAATTATTTAAAAACTTACTTTTAATAAAATTTGAAAACAAGACATTAATGACATCTAAAAGTGAAACAAGACAACACACCGGTCAAAGTTTTGTTCAAATTCAAACATAATTTAATAAGGTTAAATTATACAATGGATTAGAATTTCTCATCCTCCTTTTTATTTATCTAAAGGAGATCATTCACCAAACTTCAACTTAAACACCAGCATATTATAATGTTACTAGATTTTAAACGATTCATTCTTCCCTTTCGACATAATTTTGGTCTTTTGCTAAATCACATATTGCTCATATCATTATCATGATTCCTTCACTAAATCATGACTCCAAATGCACTCAATTGAGAAACAGAAGTAGTAATATGATCATATGCACTTAAATTTATTAGTTAGTAAAATAATTTCTTACCTGGTTGACAATAATGTAATGAGAATCGACCCAATTAGATGAAGAAGAGATTCTAGTAACAGTAAACAAAGCTATAAGACTTTGAATTTGTTCTTCAATCAATTTGGGAGAAGAACTAGCACAAGAATTGTCCGGCTGATTGATTATTATAAATTTTTTATTTTTAAAATTAATTATATAAATAGAGTTGTTTTGCAATTATTTGTACATTTGGAATCATTTATTATAGTGTCGCTATGAGTTACAGTAATACTAATGTTACATGTATTTTTTTTTTAAAAACGGGTAGAATTTAGCCATGCAAAAGTCATTAATGATTATAATGACTTTAAAATTATGTTGTTCCAACATTTCAAATGGTTCAATTTTTTCAAGATTAATTTTTTCATAAAATATTTAAAAAAAAATATATTTATTTTAAGAACTGATCATTTAAAATATTTTAATAATTTACAAAAAAATAAGATTTTTTTAAAAATAACCCAGAATAACACTCAACAAAAAATAAATTAGTAGTAATTTTTAAAATAAATTTAAATAAAAAATAATTAACATTAAATAAAATTCATTTTTATAAAGAAAAACTTTTTAAAAATTGAAAAAAAATCTAGAAAAAAATTTTAAAAATGAGAAAAAAAGTGAGTGATAGAAAAACAAAGGTAGCTATGACCATAACAACTTCAAAGTCGCTATAGTTGATAGCATCTCACTCTAATCCAAAAAAAATTGAAAAAGATAAAAATAAAAGAAGAAAAAAAATGTGAAAAAAGTTGGAAAAAAAAGTTATATTACCTTTGATTTTATTTTTTAACAAATTATATTATCTTCAATTTTTTAAACATAAATTAGTATTTTAAATATTTTAATATATTTATAAATTATATAAATTAAATTTTAAAAAAGAAATGAATCGCTATCATGCATATCGATGTTACATTTTATATATTAAATTAATATTTATTTTATACTTTTATTTATTTAATAATTTAATAAAATTTTATTCGATTGTTAATAAAAATAATATTTTTATTTTTATTTTATTGCTAATAAATTAATATTTTTTAAAAAAAATAATTAAATAGTGTCATTATAACCGATAGCGACTTCATTTAATTATTATTTTTTAAAGATTTTTAGGTGTTATAGTTTATAGCGATTTCATAAATTTATTTAATAATTTAATAAATTTTTATTTAACTGATAATAAAAAAATTACTTACTTTATTAAATTATATTTATAATTTTTTAGGTATATATATACATATATAAATTTTAATTATACTTTTTATATTAAAAAATTTAATTAAAATTTGATTTTTTAAATTTTTTAATAATTTATTTTAACCTTAAAAAATACAAATAAATATATTTATTTTTAAATATTATATGTTCAAAATTTAAGTACATTAATTTTTTTATAAAAAATAATTAAATAGTATCGTTATAGGCTGAAGCAACTTCATTTAATTATTATTTTTTAAAAAAAATTAGGTGTTATAGCCTGCAACAACTTCGTAGAAAAAAAAATTAAGCCTTTGTGTATCGCTACAGTCAATAACAACTTTAGTTGAATCACTACTAGCTATAACGACTTTTATTACATGGCTTCTAAAAAAATTACACGTTACCCATCACAACACTATAATAAACAACTCGGAAGGTATAAATAGTTACGAAACAGTCTCATTTATGTAATTAACTTAAAAAATAACCCTACAATGGTCAATCAACCGAATTGTCATCTTTTTGAATAACGCTAATGGAGACATTGTTTGCAACCTTCTTTGGTTTGAATCTTAGAAGCAATTCATATTAGAAGACATTTGAAAATACGAGACTTTAATCATTATTAAAAAGTTGTTTAAAAATAATTAGTATGCGTGCAAATTTTATAAAGATTTTTAAAGACAATTTATTTTCATGTATATAAAAACTTTGAATCTTATGATTATTTATTAACAAGTTACTAGTTTGAGTGATACTAAATTTAATTCTTTTAAATAAGATATCAAGTTTCAGTCTTATAAGTAAAAAAAATGTAATTGAAAAAAGATATTTTACTAAAAATAATCAGTTAAATTTTTCATACTAATGTGGTTATAAAAAATTATATAATTCCTAAATTTCTCCACATTTTTTCTTTCAATTTTTTTCCCAATAATTTTATAATTCTCTTGTGGTAATTTATTATCTTTGTAGTCTTTTTTTTTAATATAAAATTTAACTAATATAAATTAAAATCTTAACTAATTGAGTTAGTAGAATTAAATCTGTTATAAACTCATAATTTTTTTCTTTTTTAACTTTTCTTCTAGCAGTAATTACTCTTACTTTTTATTTTTATTTTTATTTTTTATTAATTTTAATATCTCGTATTGATATATTTATTATCTAAATTTTTTGAGTTATGATGTAAATAGTCAAAGTATGATTAATTTTTTTTTATAGAATACGACAAGATAAAGTTACTCCTACCTAGTTTGAGATATTAATCTATTTTTGTTGCTATTTATTGAACTCGAAAAATAATTCATAATAAAGAACATCTCTGTTTAAAAGTACCGAGCCAAACATTTGGTTATTATAAAAAGTCAAAAATAATAATAATAAATGACAGAAAGAATATGCAAAATTTTGTTTTTCTTTTAATTATTTTAAAAATCAATAATTATAGATAATTAATTAAATTAAATTTAGTTCTATTTTATTATGAAAAAAAAATCTAATTTTAGGAGCAGTTTAGACAGACCCTAAATTTTAGCTTTTCATAAATGTGAATCGAAAAATATCTAACAACTGCGGTTTACCATCTATGCCTATTTCCAAACATTAGATATTATTGTAAGTCTTTGGTTGTTCCGATTAATCAGTAACCAGTTGTTGGCGTTGACTGTTTGAAGAAAGAAAACGTGCAAGAATCTAAAAATATTGTTTTATAATTTTATTACTTATAAATTATGTAACTTCTTGTTATATAAATAAACAAAAAGTTACAGAAAATTAAAAATAGTTCTTTACAACAAAAGAAATTAAATAAATTTATGTTTCCCTAATATATGGAGGCCTCAGAATATAATTATGAATGCTTAAAAAATTAGAAGTGTGCATGTTTTAGGGATTATAAAATTATTGTTCTTTTTGTTGGAGCAATTCTTATGTTTGGTATAAATTATAAATAAAATATTTTGGGACATTATTGGAATCTATATTATTCATGTTGTCTTTTTTCTATTTTCATGTGAAAAAGAGTGAGAATGTTAAATTTTCATGAGAACGGAACCTGGTAAGTGGTAACTTCTCACTTTCATCTTATTATATTTCTCTCTCTTTTTTTTTTTTAATAAATTAAAATGTTTCTAGAATATAATTAATATTTAGCAAAAAGAATAATATTAAAAATTGGAAACATTACACATCTCATTTAGTTATTAAGTTTAACCGCGCCCACTAAGCATATTCAGACAAGAGATTAAGAAATACTTACCAAGTTTAGTGAACCCATAATAGAGTTTGGTTGGTGGACTTTGAAGTCTGAAGTTTGGACCATTCTGAGTGATGAGGTGGGAAGCGGAGGAAAATAATTATAAAAAAATAGAAAATGAAAAAAAGGGATATAAATGAAAGGAGGAAAATGGAGTAGGATTTCTCTTGCTCCTTCTGTCCTCCCCTCAGCGGCATCGTGGTTGTTCCTTCACATCTCTCTCTCTCACACACACACACTCTCTCTCTCTCACTTTCTCTTCCTCTACAAAACCCTAATCCCAATCGAGATCACAATCGGAGCATACACAATCAGAGCCCAGCTATGGACGGTGATTCCTCTTGGAGTGCTCGTCTCTCTTCCGCTTCCAGGCGCTACCAATCCGCTCTTCAATCTCGATCAGGTTCAATTCCCTTTTCCCTCCTTTCATTCTGTTATTCAAGATGAGGTGTCTCTCACAAAAATAAATAATAATAATAAAAAAGATTTTTTGTTACAACTAACAGGGGTAAGGGTGGGGGTTGGATTTTATATGTCTCGGTGTGTATATATAAAAGGGGGAAAAGGAACATAACGTGGAGATTTTGATTTTTCCTGAAAATTGCGCAGCTGGAGGTTGTGTTTTTTTAAGGTTGTTTGATGGGTTTCGATTATTGATGCTGGGCGGAGAAATGGGGATTTTTTGAAATCAAAAGCGTAATTGTAATCAACTTGTCTGAAAACCTTAGCTCAAAATGCTATCGGGTGCTTCGTTTTCCGTGGCACGAGGTGATTTGTGATATCAATTGTTATTGGGATTTGTGATGTGAAGATCTTGGTCAACTTTACCGGGATTAAAATTCATCGTTGTGATTTTAAATTGTGTGGATTTACTGAAGAGGAGCTTTTATGCCCCTCTTGGGATTGTTCTGGTTCTCGTGTATGTTGATTTTGGAGTATCTAATATGGATTTTTTTTTGTGAATGTAGATATGTTCATGGGGTTTGATGAAAATGATGGGGACGATGATATAAGGGAGGAGTTTCTCTGCCCGTTTTGTTCTGAGTATTTTGATATTGTGGGATTATGCTGCCACATTGATGAAGAGCATCCGATGGAGGCAAGGAATGGGGTATGCTACTTTCTTTTGCGTTCTACCATTTTTCATGCAACTTGTAAGGTTTTAAAGTATTTGCTGTCTGAGCCTAATGTTCGTGTTGTTCCTACATGCCTTTCCCCCTCTATTTTGTATAGGTTAAGTCAATTTTTATATTGAGAATAATATTATGATGTTTGTATTGGAAGAAAGAAGCAATACATTTTTTTCATAATGAAGGAAATCAATGGTTTTTCTGATTGCATCATTTCTATGTGCAGGTATGTCCAGTTTGTGCATTGAGGGTGGGGGTTGATATGGTAGCACACATAACCCTACAACATGGAAGTATATTTAAGATATCCTTTTTCTAGAGATTAAATTTGGTTATTCATAAATGGTTATCTTATTAGCACAAAACTTTTCTCTTAATTGCAGGTTTATTGAGCATTTACTAAGTCATTTTATTACATTATGGGACATGTCGCAAAAATGTATACTTTAGAAACGGATAATGATTTTTTCTTTTTTGAAAACAACCCAAAATTTACATTTAAACCCAACCCTTTAACTTGGTTGAATTCCTTAACTAGTGAATACATGCAGCGCAAAAGGAAATCACGTAAAGGTGGATCTTATTCAACACTATCTTTATTGAGGAAGGAGCTGCGAGAAGGAAATTTGCAATCCCTGTTCAGCGGATCTTCATGTATAGTGTCTTCGTCTAATGCAGCTGATCCACTGTTGTCATCATTTATATCGCCTTTAGCTAATGAACATACCAGTTCTCAGCACTTACACACCGAGACAAGATCATCTAAAAAATGCTCAGATCAGACTGTGTCAGCAAGGTATTTCTGTTTCATTTTTCCCTTTTAAAAAAATGTCACTTCCTCTTCATGGAATTCTGCTCAATATTATGCAAGTATTCCTGCTTGTGCAAGTATTCCTGTTTGGTATCACTCTAATATTTAAATTTTTGGATAAGATTGTATTCACTGAGATGATTTTCTTCCTCCTTATCTACGCTCCATTAGTGGCAAGAATGTGATGCCGGCATGCTTTATCTGTTTGAAATTATTTATAGCTTCATGCCTATTCAATTGAGTATTCTATTTGCTTTCTCTGAATTTGCTTTTTTTTTCCTGATCCTTTTCTCATTAATGTTTATATCCCCTTTTACCTTCCCAGCCAATCAATTTAGTGCTTTGTTGCAAAATAATGCTTGCTGAGCTCTTAATAGCATCTCCTAGTTTCTAACCTGTGCTATTTCTGTTTAGAAATGTGGAGACACCAACCTTGTCTGTTAAGGATAAGGAGGAGAAGGAAAAAAGATGCGAGTTTGTTCAAGGACTGTTGCTGTCCACCATACTTGATGACAATTTATGAAGGAAATTAATGGAGGTGGTTGCTTCAGTAGTGGGCTAATTCACATGCGATACCTGCAATGTATGGTTTGCCTGTTGAAATTGTCTATGTATTTGATCAGAGTGGAAAAATAAGTAGTAGAAAATGAATGTAATTTATGTTATATGTGCACTGATGTTTTTAGTTCAAGAGTTTCATCATCCCCTTTAATCGCATATCATAAAAGCTTTAATGAAAAAATATCCTTTTCTACTGATTTTGGCGTTGTGCTTGGAACTTTATATTTTTGGGTGATTCTTCAAAGTCTCAAGAAACAGCAGGGTACCTCAAATGTGCTAGCATATAAATATGGTATTTCCTTTTTAATATAATAAGAAAGACAAGCAAAACATTCGAAGATCAGAATTTCATTCCGACAATTATAACCGGCACATACGGCACTAAATCTATGCCTTGCTGGGATAATGATAGATAAATTTAGGAACGAATATGCATGTAATTTACAGCTTAACAGATCCTTGTACAGGTAGAGTTTTATAGTTTCGGTGGATCAGTTAGAAACGAAAACGTGCAAATAAATTGAGGGTAAATAATCCACTTTGGGTGTCGAGACCAACTAAGAAGTTATCACTGGAGTGTATCCCCATTCCCTACCATAATTAGCTTCTTAAATTTTGAAATAATCAGTAGCATGGTAAATAATTTTCAAAATTGGGTTCTTTGTCCGATCAAGAGATCGTTTCATCCTAAGCCAACAAGTACAATAATTATGATTCTCATTTAAATATTTACTTTTACTTGGTTGAGTACGCGCAAAAGGGATGTTAATAACAGAAGACGAATTACATATAATTTTTAACAAAATTACAAATAATTTCTTCCTTCCGTATTTTATTAAACCAAACATGGTAAATGATTTTCATTTTAAATCTTTCACATTTCCATTTTTCATTCAACCCAGACTCCGAAGCGTATTCTTGACCATCTTCTGTCTGAGCACCCAATTAAACAAATAAAACGTCAGAAGAAGCAGCCTTCCTGTTCAGATGTGAATCATATTCATATGTTATGTATTAACAAGTAAATTAAATGTTCTTGTCTTTCTGAAACTAACAAAAAGGTTGTGTCATTGGACACAGCAACAATTTATGCCTAAAGTCTTAATTGCAACCATTGTATTCTGGCTTCCAAAACCCTCTTCACCACATCTCCTACAAAAGAATCAAAGCAAGATGAGCAGCAACCTTTAATCAGACTAGTTTGCCCACCAGCCATTAGTTCCATGTGCGGACAGGCAGATGGGGGAGGCACAGTACAAACTTCACTCTTTTTGTGCTCAAGATCACAAGCTGCTAGTATGGTGTGCGTAGAACTCCTTGCAATATCCTTAAAAGTACTGTGCCCTGAATAAAAAAGATAAAGGCATTTTTAATTTTTGATAAATGCAGAGAAACGAGCAAAAAGCACTTCAGTGGAACTATGATGCAATTTCCCTGTTATTAGATATCATGATGAAGAATTATTCCAATGCTTGACTGAAAACGGATTAACACACACTCGCACAGGTACCTCTAAAGGTTCTCTTCACATTACAGGAAAAAGCCTGTCCTGAAATTTTGTAATGATCCGGGACTTGTGGTTTGATAGTCAGGTACCATGTTCTACAGGTGGGGGAATGCATCACTTTATGTGATCGAGTCCCGAATGTAGCAAAGGTCCCTTCCTCCCCATATGATGAAAGAGAAAAAAAATTGTAGAAATGAAAAAATCTGTAACCGAGAAGAACAGCAATACTAACCTAACTCAATATGTTGGGACAAGCTCTTCAGGTGGCTTTTAACCATTGATTGCAACTGCTCCTTTGCAATGTGAAAGTTACTCTCTTCTTTGACAGCAGGAGACAAGCCACCATCAGGAACAATGTTTGATCTGCTGAACTGATGAACTTGCTCACAACCTGGTACTGGGGGTGTCGCCATAAGTCCTTGCCATAATGCTCCATTTTGCATTAATGGAGAGGTATTGTTGCATAGACTCTCCTCAAAAAATGTGTGGTATGATGTTCCCACATCCTGTGTCCTTGCATGTAGAGTGGTGACTCCCCTACTTTGATCAATTTGAGGGCTGTATAAGTTACTAGTTGAACTGGTAGCTGAAATTCCATTGGTTCTGCCAGGTGTAGAAGCCATCCTATCTATTGAAAGTAGTTGTTGAATTTGACGGTGTATCCACCGTCTCTCTGATAAAGTGGGTGCCCCTCCAGATACAGGAGAAGCTCCTTCAACACTTCTGCTACTAAATCTAGAAGATGGAAGATGCCCAAAACCTTGATTAAAAGCTGCACGGGGTGATGAAATCAAGTTGAGATCTATACTTTCTCGTAGAACAGGGGGTGGTCTAACAGGAAGGCTCTGGATTGTCACCCTTGGTTCAGTCACACCTTCTTGAACTTGGGAGCTTGAAGATCCCAAAGCAACTGGTCTACAGCCATTACAATACCAATTACCTTCAGGAACTTCCTGCCCCAAACCAACACAATATGTGTGTGCAGGGGAATCACAGATATCACAGAGTAGCATGAGGCCATCATCTCCACCTTGATGACACTCTGAACAAATGACATATTCATATGGATCAATATAGCTCCTGAGTTCTTCTTCAGAGGGCTGATAAACCTGCATATGGAATCAACATGTATTCATTAGGAACAAATGAGCAATAAATTGAAGAAAATGCAAAAGCTATAAGGAAGAATTCAAATACCTGGTCACGTTCCGGGACTTGTATCACCACTTCTCTTAAATCAATCCCTGTCGTTGACCTAGCAGGCTTGCTGATTGTTTTGAATCTCTGCTTACACAAAGGACAACGAGACTCCACCTTTGCCCACTCCATAATGCAAGCAAAACAAAAGAAGTGAGTGCAACAATTTAGTACTCCCCTTACTCTTCTTTTATCTTCTTCAGATAGACAAATACCACACACTTGCTTTCCCACTTCACTTTTTAAATCCTCCACCTTTTCCTTACCCTTTCTTCCTTGAGGTTCTTCTATCTTTTCCTTGCCCTTCCGACCTGGAGGCTTCCGCTGCTGATGTTGATACTCATGAACAGCAACCTCTTCATTATTTATAATATGGCATGAACTCCTCAAGTTATTTCTCAAATTTCCACACAATCTCTTGGCTTCTCTCACCTGCTCTCTCTCTTCTTCAGATATGGTAAAGTCAAAATCAGATGATCCAGAAGATGCATAATCTGAATCTGAAAGAAGCACCCTTCTCTTCTGGCCCCTTTTTCTCCTATTTGTTGTCCTGATGGATGGGCCATTATCTATAAACTCATCTTCATCATCACATTTTTCTTTCTTCCTTAACCTCCCATTCTTTCTTCTTTTGTTTCTCAAGGGCTTCTTTGATGCTCTAGAACTCCGCCTTTTTCGACCTCTGGTAGAAACCACAGAGGTCCTTTTCTTCTGCAAAACCTTCTTGTCCATTTTCATTCCATCATTTTTCTTCTTTCCTCCCCTCATTTCATCCTCTTCATCTGAATAATCTTCTTCCTCTGGCAAAAATTCATCATCCTCGTCATCATAGTCAAAATCTTCATCCTCCCCATCTCTCTCTTTCTCCTCTTCCTCATCTCCACCTCTTTTCACCTTCTCCTCCTCCTCCTCCCCTAGTTTCTCCTCCTCCTCCTCCTCCTCTTCTTCCAGTTGTTCAGCACGTATTTTCCTTCCCCTCTTTTGGGAGATTTTACCAGCACTTCTTTTCTTACCACATACACCATTTTTGGCCTTTGACCTATTGAAATTTCTCACTTCTTGAATTTCCTCCTCCTCCTCCTCTTTGTATTCTTCCTCTTCCTCTTCCTCTAACTCTAACTCTTCCTCCTCCTCTTCTTCTTCTAACTCTTCTTCTAATTCCTCCTCCTCCTCCTCCTCCTCTAACTCTTCATCTAACTCCTCCTCCTCATCTTCTTCTGCATATGTAATCCTTCCCCTCTTGTGTGATTTTTTACTTGCATTTTTCCGCTGACCAAAAATGCCCTTCTTTGCCTTGGACCTATTGGAATTCCTCACTCTTTGAAATTCTGCCTCCTCCTCATCTTCCATAAAACTATCAAAACTCTCCTCTGACGCACATCCATCTAATGAGTCAGATGCGTCTTTACCTTCATCTGAAAGCACATAGTCCTCGTCCGAGTCATCAGAGACTCCCTCCTTTGACCGAACCCTTTTTCGGAAATTGCGTTTGCCACTAAACCTTCCTCCCCTTACCATCTGCACTCACACACAAACAGATAGCAAAAACAACACCAATATATTAGAACCCTATTCAAGTCAAGGGTCAAAAAATCAAAAACCTTCACAAACAACAAAATCATATCAAATCATATATATTGTTATAAATTGCATGATTCTTCAACCAGGGTTTCCCCTTTTCAACTCAACCTAAATGGGGTAATATTAAGACTACTGCTTCCGGTTAGGGAAATAGCAGCATTCATAAATTACCCCTATCACGGATCTGATTTGCCAATCTACAAAAAACATAACAGGGACAAAATTAACTACAGAGATCCCACAATTTGTTTCCTCATATATTGCCAGACACGCTAAACAGTACCGATCAATAGCAGCATGAAAAAATAATCAATAATTAGGCATCATTTACCGCGAATTTTGAGGTAGTCGAGGAACAAGAGAAAAAAAAAAAAAAAAAAAATAATTGAAAAGACGAAGACCCAGTTGCGAAATAGATATTCGTAAAAAAATAAAAACGCGAGGAGATATAGTGGAATCTTGTAAAGAGAGAAAAACTAGGGACAAATTTTCGAAAGGGACGGAGAAGATAAGGATTGAGTTACCTGCGAGAGGAGGAACAAAGCAACCGCAAACGATTAATTTGCTTCTCGAATTCCAGATTATGTTTCTTTCCGCAACTGAGGTTTTTGCCTTGTTTTTGTTTCTTTGCTTTTCTTTTCCTTTTTATTTTATTTTATTTTATTTCTATGGATTTATTTTATTTTATTTTTGCATTGAGATACAGTATTTTTCATTTGTAAGAACGTTCAAATGGCGTCCGCATCTCCGCGACCTGGTGGAGGTTACCACTCAAATTACCAAAATACCATTCTCACTTTTGGACGTTAAAACTGTAACTCCATTTTACGTCATCATTATTATTTTTTCCCTCCCTTTTCACGTATATAACTTAATCAAACTATGCCACATAAAAGATAAATAAATAAATAAACTGACTAATATATAAACAATGGATTAAATGTCATCAAATAGTATATTACCTACCATTTAAGTTCGACAACTTTCTGTACATAAATTAAAATAATTATTTTCAATAATCGGAAGTATCTTTAAATATTTTTTAGTTAAATTATTTAACTTTAGATTAAATTATACTTTAATTTTTTTATTATTTTTATATTTATTTTATTTTTAATATCTTAATTTTTTTAAAATTTTTTAATATTTGATTCAATTTTACCTTTTTAAAATAATAAATATTTTTAATTTTGTGATATAATTTTAAATTAATTTTTAATTAAATCACGACTTAAAAGTTAAAACTTGTAACGTGTATTTTATATAAAAATTTATGAAATTTAATTAAATATTTTAAAAATAATCAGATATAAAACTAAAATAAATCTATAAAATTAAGATAAGTTATGAAAAGTATAACTTAATCTTTATTTTATCTAATAAATCTAAAAAAATTCAAATTCTCATCTCTTTCAATTTATCATTTTTATTTTATATATTTTTTTAATAAAATTTTAATATTTTATAAAAACATCGACAATGAATAATATTTTTATATTACAACATAAATTTTGCATTATAAATTATAATTATATAAAATAAACATTAATATATTTGTGAAATTAAAAGATAAAGATACATAAATATAATGTAATAGGTGATGAAAAAGATTTTATATTATTATTTAATCACAAATGGGTATTGAATTATTGAATTTAAATAATAATTATTATATTGATGTAAAAAATAATTATTATTATCTTAAAAACTAATAGGATCAAGACACTTTTTGCCTCTATTAAGAATAAAATAAAAGTAAAAATGAGAGTACCTCTATTAAGGATAAAATAAAAAAAAATTAAGTAACAAAAGTATATTTATTATGATTAGTCTATTACTTTCATGTTCTTGAATTTCATTAAAAATATTTTTTTAATTTTTTAAAATAGAAAAGTATAATTATTAATAAAATGTGGAGATCAAGGTAGTTATTAAAAAGTATCCCTTTATATATTAGTATAATTATATAAAAGATATTTTTAATTTTTTAATCAGCTAAAAGTGAAAAAAAAATCGGTAAATAATTATTAAATTTAAATTTATTTGATATCAGGATGTAGTCACCTGATTTGATTTTGATTCGTTTTTGTTATGATAAAAGAATGATTATCTCATATAACCATAATTCATTAAAAGCATTAAGCATACACTATAAATAATTCAAATTAAATATAATACGCTGTGTAAGAGAAGGGAAAATATAGTTAAAAAAATTGCACGTAAAGCATTCAGCATGGCTAAAAACCTATTTTAGTCATTTATAATAATTATTTGTTTTAATTTAGTTTCATTTTTATTTTTGGTCTCAATTTGGTCCCTAATAAATTAATTGGTTGCAATGTCGGACTTCCGTCCAAATTATTTAGATAGAGTTAACTGTTAGCCACGTGGATACTACGTGGAAGTTACATAAATACCACGTGGATGTCAAATTTTTGTCATGCATCTGGAACTAGAACGGTCCATTCTGGATTCACTCTTGGTGTGTTAATTTTGCATCCGGAACGGGTCTTTTCGGATGCAAAATGAACACATCAGGAGTGAAACCAGAACGGGCTATTCTGGTTTCAGAACGGACCGTTCTGGTTCCAGAATACCACACATGCAGTTGATGATTATACCTATAAATTTTAGATCGTGAGGACAATACTTATTCATATATTTGTAATATTAAAAATTTTATATATAATTTTTAAAAGTATAAATATATATTATTTTTTACAAGTTTTTATATATACAATTATGATTAAGGATGAAAATAAATTAGGTCAGATTATGTTATATTATAATTTAACAGATTTAAACCTAATTTTTTGTTAAAAATACATGTTATAAATATTATATATTTATCTGTCATAGACATTTTTTAAAATGTTTGGTTACATAACAATCTTAAAAACCTACTTAATAATAATTTAACACTAATAAAAACATATAAATAAATATGTTAAATCTTATAAAAATTAAGTTTAATTTATTTATCATATAAAGATGTTTTTAATATGTGATATAAATTTTTACAATTTTAATTTTTTTTTATCAACATAAACAATAAATAGAAAGTACAAAAGTTTGACAAATATCAAATAAATGAATAACTCCTCGAAATTTATATTTTATACATACGATAATTTAAAATATATTAGAATATAATTTTTTTTTATATATATATATATATATATTAGAATATTTTTATTTTAAAATATATTATTTTTTAGATAAAAAAATTGTGTATGTGTAAATAGTTTGTTTTCGATTTTTGAATCACACTGGTGCACTATGTTGGTTGGCGTTCTGGAACGGCCCGTCCTGAATCTAGAACTGCCCGTTTTGGAAGGCAGAACGGCCCATTCTGCTGCACACGTTGGTGTTAAATAATGCATCTGGAACGGGTCATTCCAAATGCAAAATTTACACACCATGAGGGCAACCGGAACGAGCTATTCCAGTTTCAGAACGGGCCGTTCTGGTTCCAAATGCATAATAAAATTTGACATCCACGTGGCATCTACATAGTTTCCACGTGGTCAACAGTTAATTCCGTCTAAATAATTTGGACGGAAGTCCGACATTGCAACCAATTAATTTATTAGGGACCAAATTGAGACCAAAATTAAAAGTGAGACTAAATTGAAACAAAAAATTATTATAAGAGATCAAAATAGGTTTTTAGCCCATTCAGCATTAAAGTATCATTTTCCATGTTGACGATATTGCCCTGTGGCGAGAGCAGTTGAACTGCACCGGACATTGAATATGCACAACTCATCAGCGCCGTATACGTCAACGTCGATCTCGAATCGGGGAAATAGGGAAATAGCCTATTGTTAGGGAACGGCAGCGTTTCAATAGAAGGACACGTGTAGGGCCCAGAAATGGAGAGGAAAAGATTGCAAAAAATCGAATGGCCGTTTCGTTAACAACAATAATAACATTATTACACCGCCCACCGCTTTGCGTAAACAAAGAGCCCTAGCGAGCGTTACTGCGTTACCTTTATTTATTTATTTATTATTATTATTATTATTATTTTCTTTTTTATGTAGAGTCTAGTTTACACTCTATGAATCAGTTTCCCCAAGCTAACCTAGCGTTTTGCTATCATGCCCTTATAGTTATAGTACTTCTATTTTTATTTTTAACAAAAGTTATAGGACTTTTTTTAAGACACTGGAAAATTGTGTGGGCTCGCTGCTTTTCATTAATAATGGTGTTAATTTTTTAACATTGGTTAGTAATAAAAGTTAAAATAATATGTATAAAATCTTAGATTTATTTTTTATAGTCATTATTATAATTTTTGGGGATAAAAAAAATAAACAATTTTGAATATGGAGAAAGGATATAATGCTAAGTGGTGTATTTATAGGGAGTTGCAAGTGGATGAGATTGGGTCAAATTTTAATAAATTTATTATTTAATCTAATTAAAATGTCGGATTAGGTATGGTAAACGAGCGGGTTGGGGCGGGGCAGGTTTTATGTTCCTCGCCCTCCCAAATTAAAATTGTTTCTGTCCCCGCTTCCAATACCCGTTGGGGGTAAAATTTAGGTACCCGGGGACGAGGTTTGGGTATCCCTGCCCCGTCCCTGCTCTTGAACTTTTTTTTAAAATTTTTTATTTTTAATAAATATGAATAAATTTTTAAAAGTAAATAAAAAAAGTAAGATAATACAAATTTTTGCAAATAAATATTTCTAATTTTAGTTTATATATATATAAAAATAATTTTTTAATAATATTATTAAACAGGGCGGGTACGGGGGCAGGGTGAGTATTAACATCCCCGTCCCCGCCCCTGCCCCTGATCTTATCAATCGGGAAAAACCCGAACCTGTTAAACACCAGTTTTCCCCATCCAAATCGAGGCGGGTTTGGGTGGGTACCCACAGAAGCAGGTTAGATTGTCATGCCTAGGTTGGATTAGGTTTGTGTATTATTCTTTTATAAATTCAACCCAATCCTAAATCTAATCATGAATAAATTGGATTGGATTGAGTCAATCGCGTCAAATATAGTTAAATTTATTTTTATTTTTTGAAAAAATTTAAATATTTTATAATAGATGTAAATCATTTAATTTTTTTATTATGAATACAATGTTATTAATTCATAAAATATATAATGATACAAATTAAATTTTAAAATAAATTTATTGATTTATTATATTGTTATCTGTTCAAATGGCTAATATTAATATAAAATAAAATTGAAAATAAATATGTTGTATTGTTACAATGCTATCAACCAAAAAATACAAAACTTGTTACCAACTAAAAGTGACAAAGAGTATTGTTTTGAGTAAGTAACCATCTAAACACTAACTTATTATTATTATTATTACTACTATTATTATTAATTTTGTTATTATATATGATTAGATCGGGTTGGATTACGAATAAAAAAATTACAAAACTTATTATCCAACTCATCCAATATCAATTTTTGATTGGGTTGAATCTGACCCAAATACTAAAATAATATAATTCAAATTTATTAGATTTGGATTCATAAGTTATTTATAACTGTTTATATTCATATGTATTTAGTACACATTGATTTTTGTTTACCAATTCACCAAGAGAAATGGATGGCCGAAGGAGATGGGAATTGATGCACATTATACTACTTGTAAGTAAACGTCACCATAATGCTAAGTTAAGATTTTCTGCACAAAA